TTTCGGAAAACAAAGAAAATATTAAATACATGCTCTTACGGATAGTTCCTCTAGAAGAGGATATGTGTGATGTAATAGACAAATTTTGGTCAGATGTATGATGATTTAAACTGCTTGAGATATAGTAAAAGGGAATATCAAAATTCAAATTTTGACGAATTGTATGCCCAATTGGATCAAGATTGCTTCCAAAGAGAGTCGAATTTTATATGATATATATTTGAATATTAAAATATTTTAATACTCAGTATAATATGTACTTTGCGGGATTAACACCTCTTATTGCGTGTGTTACATGTTTCGTGACAATTTTATAGAAGCCTCCGCAAGGGCATAAAATGTTTTGCCATTTAGTTCTAATGAGTTTTCTAAAGTTCTTCTAATATATGTATGTAAATACATAACATATGTATGTACGTATGCTCGAGCGCATACATATGCCCGTCTATTCGAACTAACGACTTCCGATGGGCTGGCGATAATATTCTCTTTTCATCCCGAAAATTTGTGACGCTATCGCAAAAAGCCAATCTACGCAGTTAATTTGGTCGCACCCGCCATGGGGAGCAGTACGTACACAGACAATTTGCCGATGTAATGTTTCGTATTCATTTTCGATCCGAGTCGAGTCGAGTCGAGCCGAAACGAGCCGGTCTGAGCTAAGTTGAGTTGAGTTGAGCTGAGCTCATTATAAATGAGGGATGGGCGTGTCAAACTCTGTCGAAGCCAGCGCAAATTACGAGCAGATTAATGATCACATGTTTCAATGCGTTCTTTCTTCATTTTTATTTTTTTTATTTTGTTTTTTAAAGCTCAGCTATGCGTAAAAGCATCCAGAAATCCATAGAAATGTGTTGAAATCCATTCAAACATTTGCATAGAATGTACATTTGGGTAACAGCATGCATACACTCAGAGAAAGCATCGAGTTATTTGTACTATAAATTCATTTATTAAGCCCGAATTAAACGAAACACATTAAATAATAATAAATAGAATATAATAAATAATAGTAAATAAATAATAATAAATAAAATATAATAGATATTAATAAATGAAATAACATACAAGCAAAGATCAGTTTTAAGCTAACATTTTTTTTTTGTATTTGATTCACAAGTTTTCTTTTTCTTATATTAATAAATTATTTAAAAAATAACTAAATCACATATAATTCTCTTAATTTTAGTATTTTCCTAAAGGAAGTCTTATATGAAAGAATAAAACCAGTCTTTTTTCTGGCGCTTTTCTCTCAGTGTATTTACTTATATATATTTATGTATTTCTTTTCGCATTCCAACGTGTATTTACTCTTTGACAGCAATGTGTCTATCGCAAAACTAAATAAATCATTAATTATACTTATTTATGAACTTGATTTATTTGTTTAGTTCTTTTAAAGTTTTTTAAACAGTTTTTACTTTGAACTGAATTTTAAAGAATTTTAAAGTTGCCAATAATTTTTGCCTTACCCTAACTCGTTATTACTTTATTGCTCTGCCCATTTTGAAATTAATTGATTTAATTGATTTTATTTTATCGCAAGCATTTCACAAGGGAAGCCATCGCCTGGGAATCGAACATTAAATGTATACTAAGAAGTATATATACTAGTTAGTACAAGTTACAGTTAATTCCCTGGGCTATCTTTTAGATTATTGCCAACAAGCAGACGCCAAACGGGCTTTGACATTTATAAGGTCAGGAGCTCTATTCAATAAAGCGTTCATGCTCAATTATCGAGCCAGTAGAGAGGGCGCTGGTTCAAATCCCAGCACGACTGAGGCATTGTTTTAGGCTTCTCTGATTATAGTAATAATTATTTTACGATATTTAAACGCAACTTTTCTGTCTCTTTCGTTTAGATTAGTCGCATACCTATGTAGTCCGAGAGCTCTCCAATTGCAATACAATGGCAAATTATATTTATATATTTACGTAAGTGCGAACTGAATATTATTAATATTATTATTTTTTATATTATATTATTATTCAATACTTTTAGCATTTGCCTGATTGTTGCAGCTTTAACCCAATTAATTGTCGCGGATACATCAACTTTAGAAAGAATTAAGGTGAGTTCCCCAATTGAAGAGCTCAAATGCCTTGCCAAAAGTTTGCCTGACGCTTATATACTCTATATACACTCTATGCTTTTAATAATTATATATATTTCAAATCACATTTCTTGCAGAAACATCAAGAGTGGCTGAATCGACATAAACTCAAAACGGAAAAAGCGAAATACACCAAGTGGAAATCGTCTTTCGAGCTGGCGAATCTCTGGCGCATAAATAAGGAGCCAACAACCAAACAAAATTCAAGTATTAATGACGTTTACACGGAAAGCGAAACCAGCTCCAACAATGCCAATATAATTGGCCCCATATCAACCCAAGCGACCCGCTTGCGAAGCCTGGAACTCAATGATACCAACTCATCTGAAATGTCGGAAACTTGGACGACTGAAGAACCACAATTGATGACGAAATCTCTAATTGCTGAAGAGTCCACAGGCTTGGCAACCGAACCCCTGACTACGACGAGTACGACGACGACGACGACGACTACAAGAAAGCCCAAGCTCAAGGGGCGACCCTTTCCCAGATGGGCCAACTGGAGTCCCTGGAGTGAATGCTCGCGCAGCTGTGGAGGCGGCATAATGCATCAGACCCGCAAGTGCATTGATCGGTGAGTGAGCCATAGACCTATTAAATACACTCAGCGAAATACACTTTTATTAATTCTTGTATACAGTTCTAAAAATCTTAAGCTCATTTAATATATTAATTCTTTTAAGTACGAACCAGTGCGGGTTTTAAAATGAATCGAACGTTTTTGAAAAATACGACCAAGATGCGACTAAATTTTAAAATCAATCGATTATGTTTGAGATATGACTAAAGACAGGCTTAGATTAAGTAAAAAAAAATTAAGACAAGAATATTGAAGTAAAATTTTTAGCATTTCCAAATACTATACATACTTGTGTATTGTAATTGAATCGTGTATTTAGAAATTATGGAATTGAGGTTTTTTTTTAAATTTTGAAAAAATTCTAGTTCACAAATCCGATCCCATAAAGTATATACCTATATTCCAGATCGGCATCAGCAGCCGAGTTAATATAGTCTGTTCTGTTTCTATAGGAACTCGCCTCTCGGTTTTAAGGCTATTCTCTTGGAAATTTGCATGGATCCATCTTTCTGTTGCACGCAGTATATGGTATATGTAGGAACCGGCCGGATCGGACCACTATATCATATACGATCGTCTGGAAAGTAGGTTCTTCTATGAGCAACTTTTTTATTTCTCAAGATATCGTGACCAAACTCGGTCAGTACATTATTTAATATGTTATATCATGTATCTGTCTTAAAAACAATCGGTCGAAAAAGATTTGCTTGTATTGCAAGATGTTGTGAATTCCAAGATATTTTTATCAATCTCAGAATTTGCGAGCTATTCTCACTATTCTCACTTGTCTGCTGAACCGTCAGGCAAATGTCTATAAGGGTATTGAATCTTCGGCTTGCCGAAAATATATCTACTTTATTTTTTTATATATATACCAATAAGCTTTGTTTGTTTTATAAAGATAGTCCAGAGTATATTAGCTTCGGTGCAGCGTGAAGTTTCGTTCTTTAAATTAGCAATTCAAATTGAACGAGGTCTTTATTAATGCTCAAACAAAGAGAACTCTAATAGGTCTGAACATCAGGTAAATTGGATACTTGAGAAGCATTTTGGAGGCTGGTCACGTGGCTGCGATTGTGCTATCGAGATCTGCGTGCTGCGGCCCGAACGTTCTGTTCATTAAATCCGGACAATGTAACCAATTAAAATATTGCATTTAGCTATATATTTGACTATTTGCGTATTAAAGGAAAGTTCCCCGAGTTGCGTCTGGGCTGTAAAGTAGTTTTGTGGTCAAAATTGTTGATTCTTAGTCATTTAAAGCAAACCTTAAACTGGTTATTGCCTTGACTTTTGGGTTTTTACTCTTTATTTTCGTATGCGTCCAGCGTCATTTTGGCAGAAAAGTAATTCATGCTAATTATTTTGTCAACATTTAAGAGATATATGAGATTTGAAAACAGAGTTGGGTCTATCCGGTCGTTAGATATACTACTCGATATTTTATTTTATTTAAACTTTTATTTATTTATATTTAAGAGTTCTGCAACTTCTCCTTCCTTCCTCCCTTCTCTCTCTCTCTTTGTCGGTTCGGCTTTGGCAAACATTTTATACAGGGTATTTTGCGGTGGAGCAAGACCTTTATCTGCAAATGTCTTATTTGTATTTTTCCATCTCATGTACATAAATAAACAATTTTGCCTTTTATTTAGCCATGTCTTAACTAGATAATTATTGACTTAACTAATCCACTTTGTGTGCAAACATTAATTCCGTTCGACTTGGCTCGTAAAATCTAGAAAAATATCGTATCACGGAAACCTGTATGCCATATACCATATACTACTTCAACTTGAAGAAATTGTATATATTTGCCGTTAGTTTAGATAGAAAATAAGCGCTAATATAATGATTCCCTTAATGAGGGAATAACTGAATATTTAAACACAAACCCAAATACATATTGTTGAATATGATTTTTGGCAGCCATATATAGTCCAGAGTATGAACGGGTATCTAATGCTTATAAGGCACAGATGTATATTTGTTAATTGACATGAGATACGTGGAGTATTTTATAGGGTATCTTTTGGTCAAGTCCACAATCTTGAGTTCACAGTTCTGTTAGTTGTCTCACTCTACATTTTGGACTTGTTTCGAGTTAAAAAAAAATCTCAACAAGGCGAGAAAAGCAACAAACACACAAGGCTCGATCCGAACAATGCCAGACTTTGTACGCTTGTTTTGATGACCGACTAAAATAAGTATATAAAAAAAAAGCCCCCCAATGCGAGAGAACAGATTTTTGCTATAAATACGAGAGCCGAGTTTTAAACAACCTGAGTTTCCGTCAATCAACGCGTCGAAGCTGTTGTGCATTGTAATTAAATATCAGAATGTCCAGATTATTTGCCATTTGCCTGCTGTCGCTGGCGCTTGTCGTGCAGGTAGGTTTGCTCAGGATATAGCCAAAGCTGTAAACTGAAATAAACCCAAATTTGCTTAAAGTGCGTGCTGTCCGAGGAACCCGCAGAGGCATTGAACAATCACATTCGCGGACAACTTCAGCAATACGAGAAGTATCTGACCAACGATGATGGCTCCCACAAGGAGGATCTGCAGAAGCTGATCAAGATCTACGAGTCCGCCCTGAAGACCGAGGACTTTACTGAGAAGCAGGCCCTGGTCAACGGTGTGCCCCAGCAGTTCTCTAAGGAATTCGGCACCTTTGTCCAGTCAAAGCTGCAGGAGGATCAATTAAATGAGGATATTCTCGCCGCGATCAGCTTCTACAAGTCCCTGGAGAAGGGCGAATTCAAGACTGACATTGAGAAGACTTTGGCCGAACTTGAAGGCCTGCAGAAACTGACCGAATTCGAGGCGAAGAAGAACGGCTTCCTCAACCTGGAGAAGGCATTCAGTCCCGAATTTGTGCACTTCCTCAAGAAGGACTCTCTGCCCAAGATCAACAGTGATCTGCAGAGCGGCGTTGAGTTCTTCGAGAAGCTGTTAGCCGATCCCGAAGTTAAGTTCGCCACAGAAATTAAGGCACTGAAGGCACAGGCCGTCGCCGCCATCGCCGACGAGATCTCAATCGATGACAAGCAGAAGGCTCTCTTCGAGATCAGAAATCCTGCCAACGCCGAACTGACCGAGTTCCTGAAGAAGAAATTCACCGAACTGAACTAAAGATTAGAGATATGTTTTCATCTCTTCAATCATTGAGAGTATCTAAATTATCTTGATCAATTGTCTACGCACATAAATTAAATAAAACTAAAAAGAAATAAAGAAAACAATTGTTTTTTTGTGAAGTACTTTCATATATAATGATATGTAAAAATATTTCTACATATTATATACTTAGCTCCACAGATAATTATCAGATGAGAACTTGTAAAACATAAAGCAATATGACGAGCCTTAGCTAAGCCTCATTTATATATGCTAATTTTTTATTTGTTGTAATCTTACATTAATCTTTTGATTTACAGAAATTCTACAACAGGTAGAGTATATACGAGCGATACTTGTGTTGGCCTCTCGAAGCGCTACCAGATATGCAATGACCTCTCGTGTCCGGCGGATTCATTGGATATTCGTGCATATCAATGTGCTGCCTACAATCAAGTCGATTTCCAGGGTCGCCAATATAGCTGGGAGCCCTACATTAAAGGTAGAGAATTGTATAAATATGAAAGAATCTATTGAAAAGACTTTGAGCCTGGCTTTAATTGTGAACAACCTGCGATTGTTATATTTATTCATTTGGCAGACGATGCCGAGTGCGAGCTGAACTGCAAGCCATTGGGCATGAAATACTTTGCCACTCTGAATGATACCGTTATTGATGGAACACCTTGCCAACGTCCGGCGGAATATTATCGCTCCAAGTCCACTCGAGTGGGCCGCGCAATGTGTGTCGACGGCATTTGCAAGGTGAATGTTTATACTAACAATAAAAAAACAAAAAAAAAAACGCACAATTATGTTATAGCTGATTGCAGATAAAACACGCTATCAGCCCGAACAGTAGCCGCATTTAGTGGCTCCATTAATTAACAGGTAGCCACTATTTAACGCCCGTGCCATTAGGTTTTCAGTTGTCAGTATTCAGTTTTTATTTATTTTTTATTAACGTCGTGTAAATGCAAATCAGTACACGTCTGTGATTAGTTGTTCATCGTAAAGAGGCTCAATTACAATAAATACCTGCTCTTATTTATTACAATATTCGATTAGTTCAGCCTATTCATCTGCTTGGATGCTAAAAAGCAACAACAACAAAATCCGAGTGCTGTCTATGCTCATGCCTATCCACAACAAGAGTGCCGATTGTGTGTGTGCAGCACACTCCGCGTTATGAAAAACTCTTTAGAAATAAATGAATCGCTTTGCCGAATATTTTAGTAGGCGACGCGAATCGAAGCACGCAACACATGCGTATCCGTATCTCATAGAATCGCGCACGTCGCCGCAGAATCCATCACAAAATCAAAACCAGTTCAAAACTAATTTTTCGCAATTTTTTTTTAACTCATCAGAATCAGTTTTAAACACAAGCTCCATAGATTTGGCAAAGTTAAAGCTTCTCATGTCCGTTTAATAAGTGTTACTAAAGTGATTTTTAAATAGGCCATAGAAATTAAATAAAATTCTGACAGAATCAATCACAAAATCAAAACCAGTTAAAAACAAATTTTTTAAAAATATTTTTTTAACTCAGAATAAGTTTTAAATACAAGCGCAAAAGATTTGGCAAAGTTAAAGCTTCTCATGTCCGTTTAATTAGTGTAACTAAAGTGATTTTTAAATATGCCATAAAAATTAAATAAAAGTCAAATATTTAAGTTAAACGTTTTTTTTGAAAATCTCAAAAATATTACATTCAATATTTTTACAAATTCACATATATGTAAAAAAATGGAAAATGAAAACCTTTGTTTTTTGGCATTTTAGCCAAAACACTTGAGAATTTCAATTGAATACATTTTACCTATAGAAATGTACAATTCGCATTTACGTAATGTACTAATATACTTAAATTGTTTTTAAAGTCTTTAATTAGATCCATTTGCCGCTTTCTAGAAAATTCAGCCTATTTTTTATTATATCTATTTTACATTTCTTAATTCAAATCAAAATCTACGTCAGTCTTAGCTTTGCTCTATTTGGATTCAGATCAAAATTTGTATCCTCTGATTTCTTTTCTGCGGCATAAAAATATGTGCATATGAATTTCTGATCTAATACGCAGTGTCATGTTTTTATTGTTCTTAGCCAGAGCTATTTTAATAAACTTGTGTATGTGCTATTGTATCCGAGACTGGCTATTAAAATCTCACTTTGATAGGCGCAGCACATTAAAATTCGCTAATATATATACTTATTTTATATACCATATTAATATTGTTATATATATATATTTATGTGTGCATAAAATGTAAGCCGACGTCTAGAAATTGTGAATCGTGCTTAAAACTAATGAATGCTGCAGTTGATGTGCTATACGATACCACGTAATAAACATTTCTCGCTTAAAAGTATTTCTACGAAAGCTGTCAAAAGACACCTTTTCAATTTTTAACTCCAAAAAATGTTCTAAGTTGAATAATTTTTTCAAAATTTGGCAATTCATTTGTTGATTGCTCAATTAATTTAGTGCTAGCACAATCCTCGACAAAAAATATATAAAAACAGAATAATTTAAAAAACTGTTTCCTTGTCAAAGGACGACTTTTAATGCACAAAAATGGGTATTAAAATCATGTTCGCACACGCTTTAAAGTATGCTATATAAGGATAGTTACAGGGTGTGTTGCATATCATAAATAATCATAAAATATAGTTATATGCTTTTTACACTTTTTATTAAAAATAGTGGCTGCTGCCTTAAAGCTACATCCAACTAGTTGAACCTGGTTTTATTTTTAGATTTGCCTGCATATACCCCTTGCATATGTGGTACAGGGTATCGAAAAGCACTTTAATCTTGCGCGGGTCGCGTCGTAAACAACCAAGTGAGACTGGCCAACTGAAATGTGGCCATCGTAAACTTGCAAAAGTGCGTCAAATGCTGCCAGTTGGCCATTAAAACAGAATTATCTCGCGCTGCGGCCTGGCGATGATAGTCGCCCGCGCGGCACTCAGCGATCGGCCATTTACGAGTTTATCACAACTTCAACATAAATGTCGGCACATATGCAGATACCCGCATATATGTTATACATATATATATAGAGACTCAAGATTCGATATTGGCAATTTGCACTTAGCCCGGAAGCGAATATCAATTTGGTTTGCACCTTCGCCCACAACTGAATTCGCATATTTATGTACTTAATTTTGTATCTTTTTTTTGCCAATTTTTTTTATTTTATTTTTATTGCATTTAAATTGTTATGTTTCTGAATACCCTAACGGAGTGTATATTCATTTTGTCACGAAGTCAGACACTGATTCCAATTGGGATATATTTTATATATCCTTTTTTCCCAATTCCATTTTATTTTTTATTGCATTTTAATAGTTATGTTTTATTACGTATACCCTAGCGGAGTGTATATTCATTTTTTCACGAAATGTGTTACGCAGTCAGACATTGATTCCAATTGACATAGTTTTTCGTTGCAGCCCTGCACTATTTCCAATTGGGATGGTGTTATGAGGCAGTCAGACATATATTCCAATTGGCATATTTTTAATTCATGCTCAGAGATTCATATGTTTTATCTCCGCAAGGGTATTTAGAATACGGCACTTTAAAGATAACTTATTTAATTTTTTTCGTGCGCTGTGATAAATTGAACGTAATTTGCATTGAATTTATTTAACGCACATATAAATATGTTTGTTTATGTAGTCCACTGACATCCAGTATAAATCAAACAATTAACTCAACGCATAAACAAAGAACATTTACCAGAGATCACCTTGCGTATATATTAATATATAGTGCGATATGCCTAGGCTCTGGCACTTGGCGTTAACCTGGCTGGTGAGTCAACTTAGACATCTGTCGAGAGTGTTCGATTCTATATTCTACTCTATTCTATTCTATTCCCCCTCTAAGCCCCCGTTGCCCTTTGGTGATGTTTTTTGTAAACAAAGCAATGTTTTCTGGCATGCTTTGATTTGTTTCAATTAAAATCAATTATACCATCTACAGCTCTCCATATATATATAGTATATGCCTTGTATAATTGCAGGCCGTTCTTGGCAATGGCTCCATAAAGGGCATGTATGCAAATAGCGGCTCCGTCAGCTGTGGAGGACTACTGTGCCGTCCGGTAACTGGTATCTTTACTCGCGATCCGTTGCCAGAGGATGCATATGTACATGTGGCCACAATACCCGCCGGAGCATCGAATATATCCATAACCGAACTCAAGAACAGTGAAAATTTACTCGGTAAGCTTAAGCTTAATTAAATTGAATTAAGAATAAATTTTAACATATTTATATTTATATAATACCCATCTGAATGAAATTTTATTCGGTTCTATTATTCTGGAGTATATCTCGTATATCTCGAGTAAATAAAGTCCGGTATTCGAATAATATACCTTTTTGAGCTCAAGCTGTGCACGACTGTCTATTAGCTTTACCAAATTTTCATTTTAAGAAGAAGATGGGAAAGTAAATAAATTATATAGACCTCAAGTCCAAAAGGATATAAATTTCCACGATACGAATCAGTTAAAATATGTTTTTGAAGGGTTTCCCCAAAGGTCTCTTATGGATGAAGTATAGACTATTTTTTTATTTTTATTTTTTTTAGGATTAAAATTCTTTTATTTACAACTCAAATGCTGTTAGCTTAGCAACTTTTATGAGAGTGAGGAAATATAGACTAATAAAATAAAAATTTCATCATGATAAGCTAATTTAAATGGTAGGGTATTCATAGTTCGTAGTGGCTGCAACTAGAATTCCTTCCTTTGATAAAGCTATAATTTGGTAGATAACTGATGGCCTGCTCTAAAAATCGAGCCAACAATATTTCAATTGCAAATCAATTATTGTTTATTTGCTCGCAGTCTTGCGAACAAGCGAACAGAAGAGCATTTTCAATGGCGAGAACGAGGTGTCGGAGAGCGGATCGTATGAGGCGGCGGGCACGACCTTCGACTATCACCGCATCGATGGAGTACAGCAGGGCGAGGGCGTTACCGAGTGGATCACCAGCACGGGCCCCATTAAGGATCCAGTGGAACTCTTGGTATGTCGACTAGCAACAAACATAATCCAGCATAACGGCTCACACGCACTTTCTGCCCACCAGGTGTACAGCAACATTCTGAATCCTGGCATTAAGTACGAGTACTTGCTGCCCATTGTGTCCGACTCGGAGGAAAATGAGCTCTCCCTGGAGAGCAGCGACGGCTTCCTAAAGTCTGGCGCTGTCAGCGAAGATGGCAGCTCTGTGAGCAGCACGCGCTCAGCACGCAGGCGTAAATTCAACTGGAAGGTGGTCGGGTTCAGTGCCTGCACAAAGTCTTGCGGCGGCGGCACCCAGTCGCCGATTGTGCGCTGTGCTCGTGAGAATCCGGTGCGCTATTATTCGCAGCGCCGTTGCGGTCACGCGGATAAACCGGTGCTCAACGAGAACCTGCTGCACTGCAACACACAGCCGTGCCCCGCCTATTGGCGACAGGATGAGTGGGGCGAATGCCGCTGCCAGCATGGCGAAAACTTCCGGCGGCGTGAGCTGAGCTGTGTCCAGGAACTGGCATCGGGCATTGTAATACATGTGGATAAGGCCGCCTGCATGGAGGAGCAGCCGCCCAGCGAGAAGCAGTGCGAATGCCCCAAAGCTCGACGTCGCAACTCAGCCCGTTACCGCATGCATCTGCATCCGGATGCGGCCAATGGCACGCATCTGGGACGCCATCGGGCTCCAAAAACTGTTAGCGATGCGGTCTGGCTCATGTCCGAGTGGAATCAGTATTGTTCATCCTCGTGTGGTCCGGGCGTGCAGTACCGCACAATCTTTTGCGACCGGCCCAAGACAAAGGCGGAGCGTTGCGAGCCGCGCGATATTCCAGAAAACCGACGACCCTGTGCGCAAAACGCCTGCGAGCTGGGCGACTGGTTTGCCGGTCCCTGGTCACCATGCAGTGGCGACTGCTTCAACCTGACCCGTAGCCGTGCTGTGCTGTGTATTCGAAATCAGCTGATCACCGATGACGAGGAGTGTAAGCTGGAGTTGAGGCCACAGGCCTTGGAGAACTGCTCGCACGAGGAGATCGAGTACTGTGCGCCGCGCTGGCATTATTCCGAGTGGTCCGAGGTAAGCTGGCGAGTGCAATAAGAATAAATTCCCAGTTACTGAAGTTCATTTCGTGTTGCAGTGCACCAAATCCTGCGAAGGCGGCACCCAGCGGCGCACTGTCAAGTGCCTGGAGTACGATGACAAACAGAATGCTCTGCGGGAGTCCACCAAATGCAGATACGCACTTAGGGAACCAATCTATCGCAACTGTAATACGCAAAAATGCGAAGGTAAGGGTTTTTAGAACATATTTTAAATTCCATCTCTTATTATTTATTTGATATCCTTGCAGATCTTAATAACGAACTGCTCCAAAACGACGAAGCTCCGGCATGCCTGGATAATTTTCCCAACTGCAAATGGGCCGTGCAGGCCAAGCTATGCAGCTACGAATATTATCGGATCCATTGCTGTATGTCCTGCACGAAGCTCCATTGAATCGAATCCAACTGAAAAGGCCGTGCAAAAGTAGCTTTAAATGTTGCGAAAGAAGGAAAGGAGAAAAAACCGAAAACCGTGATCTTAAAGCAATTTCTTACATTTATTCGTGAATGTTCATTAAATATGTTAGGCATATATCTAGCCGCAAATTCTCGGAATGGATTCCAGTTTGACATGCGAGTGCATTTACATTTATTAATACATACCACATAAGTACATAAATACGTAAAGGAAACCAACAAACAGTTTACTAAAAATATCTCACAAACGATACAAGTTGAATCAAGTGCCACACTTAAAGATATTATACTATTTTCTTTTAACTCTACGATGTGTGTTTGGGATTAATTCATTTTATGGCTTGAGAATTCTTTACTTTCAAGTACTCTTCAGATTAGTTTTAATTTAACCAATTTTGCGCTAATTTTAATCTATGAATTTCAGAGGTATTTCTTAAAGATTAAACCAAATTTAGTTATAGTAGAAGTATTGTATTGTATAAAATATAGTCCAAGCACGCCTTTCCCTGAAACTATTGTCAAATACCAAATGGACTGGAGAGGCTTGCTGACTTTAAGTTCATCCTAAATAACTATGCAGCCTTATTGCAAATACAACGATAAGAGTAAACGGTGCGTTACCTGGTTTAATCAGGTTTGCGCCGATTGTCGCTCGCAGTTCCCGTCAAGCGGCGTCAATCAACGCCTCAAGGAAGGTGGCCAGAAATCGAAGGTTGGCCTAATAAGCGCCGAGGAGTGTTACAGATCGATTAAAAGAAGCACCGAGCTTCTGGCTACAGACGGCTATGACAAGGATGAAGTCTGGTGGAAAGTGCCGCTCATTTTGCTAGTCTTAGGCTGTATCCTGGTATTTTCAATTGTCACCTGCCTGGTCTGCCAGAAGGTGGTAAAAACAGTGCAGGAGCGTATGTCACAACATGTTGATTTTAATGTGTGTGAGTCCAAAAAGAAACGCAACGTTTGCCGGAGAAGGAAGCGACCCCCGCCTCCGCAACGTACTTCATCCTGTGACGATCGAAAGCTCAGCTCCAAGTGCTCCTGCGCGCCAAAATCGATTATCAGTCAACCAGCCTCTCGATGTAATTAAAAAATCCTAATTTATGAAGGCAGATATCTCAGTTAATATGTCCATATAATTGTATGTGTAAGTATTCAATTAAAACTGAAATGGATTTCTGATGTTTCATTGTTTAGTTGAGCAAACGTGAGCTTGTCACGCGACCTAATCAAAGTGCCAAGTTGTTCCGACTTAGAGATATCACTTAGCCGGATAATAATAGGTGAGTTCTTTTGAAACTCGGTCATTTAGGAGAGTCCGGTTTCGGATCTTAAGCTGATCTGTGGACGTGGTACAAGATTAAACAAGTAAGAGGCTCTAGCCGGGAGCTCCCGACTAGGGGATACCCTGAACCCTCTTCTTCCAACATCAAATGCATATATATATTCTATTTTAGAAGCTATGTATATGTCAAGTTTGGTGACTCTAGCTCTTATTATTTACCAAAATTGCCCAAAAAACAGGATATCGCTATCGATTTTTATCGATTGCTTGGAAACGGAGTAAGTTATCGATTATCGGAAACAAACTCGATCTGCGCGGGAACTAGGAGCATCTGCATCTAAAATTTCAAGTCTCTAGCTCTTATAGGTTCTGAGATCCTTGCGCTCATACATACGGACGGACGCACGGACGGACAGACAGACGGACATGGCTAGATCGACTCGACTATTGATGCTGATCAAGAATATATATACTTTATGGGGTCGCAGATGCTTCCTTCTGCCTGTTACATACATTTGGCTTTCCCACAAATACAATATACCCTTATACCCATTTTTAATGGGTTCAGGGTATAAAAATTGTATTTTTCCAAGATATTTTATTAATTCTCGTGACTTTATAAGCAACATGCTCTATTCGAAAACCTTTAGAGTTGGGCTTTAAAGTAGGAATTGATTTCGACCATTTCACTTTGATATTGGCGTGCGCGGAAAACACTTCTGTTAAAGAATTAAATAATGGCATTTAGTTTTATACGTCTGTACTTAAATACATGTTGTATCCATGGTTTTCGATATTTAGTGATGAGCATGTCACTTTTGTTTGAGAGGTAGATTGGACTTTAACACTATTTCTACCCAGGTTTTTGTGTATACCTAGGCGTCCTTTGACACCTTTTATGGATTATCAAAAAGTAAATTTAAACAAAAATTATACAATTTGGAAAATAAGTTCAAGTTAAAAATGGAAAAGGTGTCTTTTGACAGCTTTTGTAGAAATAGTTTTAAGAGAGTTACAGAATGATAAATAATTAATCAAGCATTTCAGATTATTGTGGCTTGTACTTTTGATCGCGTCCATTTATTTTTGCATAATATCCTGCATATCCTCCGTGCAACGCTTTCACACAAAAAGTACGCATATCGGTCTGGAGCGGAACTCGTATTATTGGAATACCTCACTGCCGAGCATAACAATGTGATTGAGCCTTTATTTGAACTCAAAATTCAATTTTAATCATATATATTTCAGATGTCCCATGCAGCGCTTAAATGATACCCTCTTCGACAACTATTGTCGGTAAGATTTCATTTATCCGATTTGTAGGCTTCTTATGATATTTTTGTTATGCTTATATGCTAGGGTAAATAAGCTGAGAGGACGTGAGAAGACGGAGTTTTGGGATTTTCTAGAAAATTTAGCCAACGCGACGTACATCAACTTTCAGAATATACCAGAATATGATAGTATTGATGGTACACTAGATTCGCTGGGCATTCGACCCAAACACTATATGGAATTGATTTACAATCTCACATTTGATGGCACTTACGAGCCAATCGAGAAGATCCGTATTCGCTGCCTTGATGGCCAGGCACACGTGAGGGTCAGGCAGATCCTCACTGAGTTCGGGCTGTGCTACTTGTGCAACTCTTATCTGGGCGAGGAGTACACCTCACGGTTTCTAATCTTCGGCGAGTTTCCGGAATTTAATAAATATCTGAACTTGCAGCCATATGTTGATGTTAAGCAGGCAAGCTTCTTTGACGATATGGGATATACGATGTTTGGCTTCGACTTTGAGGCTTTAGATGTACGTATTGAAGATAATCTGTATCTGTAGCGATCGATTGTCAATTGTATATATTCATTTAGAGCTATATACACTCTGCCTTTGAAGTTATGAAGGTGGATAATAATTTTGGCTACACACATTACGGAGCTATCTATGAACCGGAAGTCGAGGAAATAGTTGCCGAATCAGACTTTGGGACGTTAGTAAATTGGTTTTCACATATATTCATATATAATCAATATTTTTATATCGCAGTGAAACGTCTATAAGCCAAAGGAAATGCCGTTTCTATCATGAATCAAATCTAACGCATTATCCATTTTATACCAAAAATATTTGTCAGCAAGAGTGCCGCATCAACTTGGCCTATAAAATATGTAAATGTATTCCCCACTTTTACCCTAATCGAAGTAAGTCAATTATAATCTCATATCTATATCTCTACCTGCCAGTTAATTTACTATCAAAACCTCTTTAGTTGCAAATCCGAAGCCTGTATGCACTTACAAAACTTTGAAGACCTGCTTTCCCAGGCATGCCGGTCAGTTTAGTATACATATATTGATAAGCATAATTATGTATATATAATTAATATTTTTAAGATTATTTTCTTAAATTTTACAAGAAGGACGATAATCTTGCGGAACCAGCAGAATGTTATTGTGAACAAAATTGTATAGACGCTGTGCTCAAAATGAAAAGGGCTTTTGTAATTATATATAATTTTATTTAAAAAAATATTTTTTTTATTATTTAATTATATTTTTTTTCAGCCCATGCGGGGCGCCAGACAGTTGCTTGGCAGCATGGGCAGTTCCATTTCGATGAAGATCTGGCCAAGGATTCAATTCAAGAGGCAAGTCATATTCTCCTTTACGGATCTCTTGGGTAAGTCGCACACTTGGCTATTTAATATAAATACATATATTATTTGTTTGCAATAATCTTTTCAGTTTCAATAGGCGGAACTGCCGGCCTTTATCTGGGCTTTAGCGTACTGGGCCTAGTTGAATTTGTATATTTTTTTACACTGCGCTTACTTTGGCATTTATTTGGTTATCAAATTTAAAATTATTTTTCGCTGAAAGCAAATTTTAAAAAATAATAAAAATAATAGAAATCATCTGCAGAGCAAAACAAATGAACGTATGTATATATTATAGACGAACTACATACATACATACATATGTATGTACCTAATAGAAGTGTGTACATGTTTGTATGTATTACTGTTGTAAATATCAAGTACCGTTGCTGTTGCTATCAGCTAAAGTACAATACAATTTAAATAACCCCACATCGTATAAATTAGTACATACATATACGAACTTAAGTGTTCCACTTAAGAACTATTGGTTGACCGCGCTTTTGAGTACTAATTTTTTTATGTTCATCCGAATTCAACGACCATGCTGAATAGTGAAAATTGTAGCCAGGAACAGTTACGTGCAAAATATTAAGCATTTTCTCAAGAGAGAAGAAGAGAGGAGATGAAATGATTTGATAACTTGAAGCCGGCACATAAGCGACATATGCACATATATACATATAAATTTGTGCATACGAGAGCACAACGCAAAACATGCACATACACATGTACACATGTGCATGTACTGCTGCTCTACGAAGGTGCCTGATTTAAAATAAACAATGACATTTGTGACATCACAAATGACAAGTTTACAAATGTATCAGGAAATTTGTTTCTCTCTATTCAACACTTTCAAGCCGGCAACAATTATACGTATTGCAGAATTTTGCAGTGTGAGAGTTATGTGACGTCATTAGCCTCTCGTTCTTCAGTGGGAGTAAGCCACCTGCGCAAGGCAACAAATTTCTCTCTTAGGTTCTGAGCTTAAGCTGCCAACCAGAGCCGCTCAGTTTGCTTTATATCGTTCACGCGTCCGGTTGGTGCCGCCTGCTTGCTGGCAAAAATACTGAAGTACCACTTCAACTAAGTACATTATAATTGTATATGTTCCTTATCGCGGTACATACATACATACGCACATCGAGCTGGACTATAAAAGCAAGAACTTCGATTGAAGCGCACTTAGTTGGCGATAGCTACTTCAACTAATTTGCAATGTTTGACAAAATCGGCGTCGGGCTTGCAATATTATATATATTCAGCAGTGCTGTGCATTATGTGGAGCCCAGGAATATTAGAACTGTGCCGAAATCTGATGATGGTGCCAAGTGTGGTTACTCGGTAAGTTTTTCTTCATTCAAAGGCATGGAAAGTACATGCATACATACATATGCACTTGCATAGGCATCACAAATGCAAATATATTACATATGTACATATGTGTATGTAAGTGTGCGTGCATGTAAAGCAGATGAATTATTCACTTTTCCTTATCAGCTGTTGATGGTTGAGAAAGTATTTATACATTTTGCGCGTTCTTCATTTTCATCAAATTTCGTTTAACATATGATCTGGCAATGTCCAATCAAACTGAAAGAGAACCGTTGTAGATGCCGTTAGATTTTTTCTATTACGAAACGGCATAAACCATAAAGCGAAATTTCGTTTGATTCAGCACCTTCAAATATAATCAACGATTCAGGCTACAATATAATATACATTTGCTTTTTAATTTAAAATATAATGGTAAATATCGTAATATGATACCGTTTTATCGCATACTTCCAGAGCTGTCATCCAACGAAACCAAACATGCTAAATGTGCATCTAATAGCACACACCCACGATGACGTTGGATGGCTGAAGACTGTGGACCAATACTACTATGGGAGTGAAACACGAATTCAGAAGGCTGGTGTGCAGTATATAATCGATTCCGTTGTGGAATCCCTGCTGAGAGATCCAGAGAAACGCTTTATATACGTGGAGTCAGCATTCTTCTTCAAATGGTGGAAGGAACAGACGAGTGAGATGCAGGACCAAGTTAGAATGCTGGTAAATGAAGGCAGGCTGGAGTTTATAGGCGGAGCTTGGAGCATGAATGATGAGGCGACAACTCACTATCAGAGCGTTATTGACCAATTCGCTTGGGGATTAAAGTATGTATTTGTTGGCTTAAAGCTGTACAAATTCAATATTGTAAATACAAATAATTTGTAGGCAATTAAATGATACGTTTGGCGAATGCGGTCGTCCACGTGTCGGCTGGCAAATTGATCCATTTGGACATTCCCGAGAGATGGCTTCCATGTTTGCGCAAATGGGATTTGATGGCATGTTCTTTGGTCGCCTGGACTATCAGGATAAGGATGAGCGTCTGATGACACAGAAAGCCGAAATGATATGGCATGGTTCCGCGAATTTGGGTAGGCTAATATAATAAATCAAATTGGATTTCTTTATGATTGTTTTATAAAATTATTAGGCGATAAATCGGATCTCTTCTCTGGCGCTTTGTACAACAATTATCAAGCACCGGATGGCTTTTGTTTCGACATTCTCTGCTCAGATCAGCCAATTATTGATGGCAAACATAGCCCAGATAATAATGTGAAGGAACGCGTAAGTTTGAGAACTTTTATTTCGCTTTTTGTACTTATTGTCTCTCTATATCCTTTCATATGAAATTTGTCCTTGTGGCGTCTTATCATTTCCTCATCCAATATTCATCAGGTTAATACGTTTTTGGATTACGTCAAAATCCAAAGTATTTATTATCGCACCAACAATATAATTATAACTATGGGTGGCGATTTCACTTATCAAGCTGCCCAAGTTTATTACAAGAATCTCGACAAATTAATACGGTAAAGTTATATATAAATGTATATGTGTTTGTTTTGGCACACTTGTGTTAACGAAAGCCCCTCATTTTGTTTGGTCCATTAGTTGTTCCTTAAACCTTAGAAGTAATTAGAGTACATGTTTTTTGTGTATAGATCGATGCGTTCTTTGAGTTTGTTAATAAGATGGCTACAGGTTATCGAACTCCCAATTTACTTATAACAATGGGCGAGGATTTCCATTACCAGAATGCTGATATGTGGTATAAAAATCTGGATAAACTAATTAAGTGAGTAGTGAGGGGCTTTCTTTAACTATGCAAGTTAATGTATCCAACAGGGTTTTTATTTGGAGATCAAAATACTATCTGTTTCCATATTACCCAACTATAGGTACGCGAACGAGCGTCAGGCAAATGGTTCGAATATAAATCTCCTCTACTCCACACCCTCATGCTACTTGAAGTCGCTACATGATGCTGGCATCTCATGGCCTACCAAGAGTGACGATTTCTTCCCTTATGCATCCGATCCACATGCATACTGGACGGGCTACTTCACTTCGCGGCCCACCTTGAAGCGTTACGAGCGTGACGGCAATCATTTCTTGCAGGTATGCAAGCAACTGAGCGCGTTGGCGCCAAAGCGATCCGAGGAATTTGATCCTCACTTGACTTTCTTGCGTGAGACCATGGGCATAATGCAACACCACGATGCTGTGACAGGCACGGAGAAGGAAAAGGTTGCTCTCGACTATGCGAAACGTATGAGTGTTGCCCTGCGCGCCTGTTCGACAAACATACGAAATGTGTTAAATCAATTTTCGACCGGACCCGGATCCGAACCCACTTCCCAGCGGCCATTTGAATTTAAAACATGTACCTTACTAAACATAAGCAGTTGTGCCACATCCGAGTCAAGCGGTCCATTTGCATTGACACTCTACAATCCGCTGGCTCATACAACCAAGGAGTATGTGAGAGTTCCAGTTGCAGATTACAAATATATTGTCCTTGATCCCACAGGTAAGTAATAAGGTTCTTTTTAAAATATGGCTGTTTAAATTTACCCGTTTTTAGGCAAAAGCCTGACCACCCAAGTCGTGCCTGTGCCCAAACCTGTGGCCGCAATCAAGCACAGAAATTCGATTGCCGAGTACGAGCTAGTTTTCCTGGCCTCCAATCTGCCAGCAATGGGCTATAAGACGTATTATATTCAAAGAGACGACAGCAGTCCAGTTAATATAAAGCCCACCGCTTTGCCAAAACGAGAATCTAGCTACACTGTTATTGAAAACGAGGTAATTTACATTTGCACTAAAGTTTGTATTTCAATAATACCTTAGTTTCTTTATAGAATATTAAACTTACATTCGATACCAATGGATTCCTCTCCGAAGTCACAGCTGATGGGATGACGCGTATGATTTCCCAGGAATTTTTATATTATGAAGGAGCTACTGGAAACAATGCGGAATTCCTAAATCGTTCCTCAGGCGCCTACATATTCCGACCCAAAGACAACAATATACGTTTTGCCACAGATCATGTCACAATAGAGGTATACAAGGGCTCACTTGTGGAAGAGGTGCATCAGAAATTTAACGATTGGATAAGCCAAGTGGTGCGAGTCTATAAGCAGAGCACTTACGCGGAATTCGAGTGGTTAGTGGGTCCCATTCCAATTGATGATGAAATTGGCAAGGAAGTGATAACTCGCTTCAAGTCGGACATTAAGTCTGAAGGCGTATTCTTTACCGACTCTAATGGTGAGCTTGTAGACTATATATGTCAAACTCTTAATAACAACTTAATGTATGCTTAACGTTTTTGGTCAGGTCGCGAAATGATAAAACGTCAGCGCAATCATCGTGATACCTGGAATGTAAAACTACAGGAAACTGTGGCAGGAAACTATTATCCGATCACCACGAAAATCGCTTTGGAGGATACGATAGCTCGAATGGCTATACTTACAGACAGAGCTCAGGGTGGTAGCTCATTAGAGGATGGTGCCTTAGAATTAATGGTACATCGACGTTTATTGAAGGATGATGCATTCGGTGTAGGTGAAGCCCTTAACGAAACCGAATTCGGCGAGGGACTCATTGCACGGGGCAAAACTCATTTGTTTGTGGGTCAATCCTATCTACGCGCCGATGTCTCTCTAAAGGCAATCGAACGTCTTGTGCAGCTGGAGACATTGCTGCCGTCATGGAAGTTTTTCAGCAATATGGAATTGTATACATCCGACCAATGGCTAAGCTCATTTACAAATACAGTGAGTACACCTATTTGCCTGATTATCCATCATTATTATTATAATCGTATCAGTATCATTATCGTTATCATTATCATTATGCTCATTTTCATTATTATTATCCTTATTATTATTATTACTATTATTATTAGTATTATTATTATAAAATTCCCAGTACACTGGCATTTCGTTGGTCCTACCCAAATCTGTACATCTGCTTACCTTGGAGCCTTGGCATGACAACGAGTTGCTCGTACGTTTTGAGCATATTCTAGAGAAAGACGAGGATTCGCGCTATTCGAAATACGTTCAATTCAATATTAAGGATGTGCTTAGTGCCTTCAATATTGAAAATATTCGGGAGACCACTCTGGATGGAAATGCATGGTTAGACGAACATAAACGTATGGAGTTTGTACCTGAACCGGAGGATGAGGCATATGAAGCCTATGCCACAATTGCGGAATCTGCAAACGGTGGTCACTTGCTCTCAGCTGCAAAACCTCTACTAGGTGTTGAATATTCAAAGGAATCGCTAGGCCCTGGAGAGCTAGGCGCCCAAAGTAACAGACTTAAGCGCAGTGCCAACGCGGGACATTTTACATTACATAAACGACGACAGCAACAAGTTGGCGAAGATCGCGTCAATGTATCTCTAAAAACAGATGATCGCGCAAAGTATCTTATAGAGCTAAGCCCAATGGAGATACGCACCTTTGTCGTGTATTTGGCAAAATAGCACGTAGAAACCCATCTAAACACGAAGACGTCTATATTTGTAGACGTCGATTGTGCTGGATAAGCATTTTTAAGAAATAAACTAACAACATAAATGAGTCTATAACTAACTAGGACCATCCAGTTGCTTGTTTATTACAATTGTACAATATACAAGAATTTGTAAATTTAACTGCGCTTGTTTCTTAAGCTGAGCGAGCAATTATCCTGGTCAATGGAGGCCCAGCTTGGCAGCTCTGTTGTGTACTCCCAGCCGACACCCTGAAATTACAAATAGTTTAGTTTGGTAATTTTTTTTGGGATACACTTACTGTCAGCTAGAACCTACTTTATATTTCCACGCATGCAGATACATAACGAGATCTTCTGGCTTCGGATCCCGATAGTTCATCTTACATTCAGAGCAGAGTGGATCTGCAGTTAGCTTGCTGGCATCAAATCTAAGGTCGGCAGATTCATGGCCAGTTTGCGTCGAAATTGTGATCTAAAAAAAAATTAATTATTAGCTGCAGCCAATAATACAAATATTATATAGATCCACCTTAGCTTCAGGCATTGACTTTATTGCGGCTTGCAATTCAGATTGGGTGGTTGGGCTTGGACTGGCAACAGCAACATCTGGATTCTTGGCCGTGTCCCTTATCGCAACTTCTCCATCAATACCCAACCAATTTTCGGCATTGTGTATAGCAATTAAATCGTTTATTAATTGATCATCGGACTTTCCTCCAGTATCCCCGCCGCGTCCCTTTAAAGGACCAAACACTTCGTGATTATACAAAGGATCGTTAACAATCGGATAGCCTGAAAATAAAACGAATGCTGTTTAGACAACTTGCAAATAATAATTTCAAATATTCCTGCTCACCTAGATATTGTAGATGCACTCTGATCTGATGCATTCGTCCAGTCAGCGGCTTGCACTGCACAATGCTATAGTCGCCAGCTTGGGCGATTCTCTTGAATGTTGTTTTGCAATCTTTGCCCTTCGGTGAGACCTTGCAAACTCCAATTTTATAGCTAACGACTTCAATCGGTTCATTGCACTCAATAATGCCACTGAAATGCAAAAATTAAACTTATATCGATGAATAATATTCATTATTCCTTCCACAAATTATAGTTTCTGAACTATACTTTATACTTAGGAGAAGAGGAAGTTACAAAAAAAATAGAGAAGGAACTACAAACAAAATGATTGGAAAAGAGAGATAATAAGAGAGAAATATTAAAATAAAAAAGGTAAAGAGAACGACTGAATGGAAATATTAGAGGAAACATGGACAAATATATATCTGACGGAAAAATAGCCGGCATAGGTGAAGAATTCAACAAGGACCTGATGTAAACATGGGTTTTTGTTTTTGTGAGGTAATTAAATGTGGTAAAATGATAAAAAAATATCTACAGCCCTTCTATTCGATACTCATGAAATGTTAAGTGGCCTAATGGACGTATAAATATTATTATTTTTAAAGCTTACACCAATTTGATAAGTATTGCTTTAATACATTAATTATTAATATATTAAGCCTTAATTATTGTTGGCAAATATTGGTATTTAAGATACAACAAATCGGTTAATATATTTCTTTAATCTATAGGGTACACATATGTTTAGGTCTTTTCAGATCTGTATATTATTTGTTTTGTTTTTTTGTGTCGGATGTTAGGGAGATATTTTATGGAGCACTACTTACTCTGGAAATTGGCCCTCCACGCAGCAAATATATTCCTTTTGTACTTGTCGATTTCGTATCTGTTGCTCCATTTGGCGAGCTTTCTCTGAATTTCGTCCGAATAACAGCAAGCCGGAAGTTAGGCGATCTATTCGATGTATGGTACGCAGATTCTTCAAATTAAACTCTTTGGCCAGGATAAAAATGACCGTGTTATGTCTGTATCGGCCACAAGGATGTACCTAAGTGTGCATATGTTTTTTAATTTATTTTATTTCAAAGATATTCAATAACAAGCTTACTGGTATTGAAGCTGGTTTGTTCACGACTAAAATGTCTTCGTCCATGTGGACTATTGTAATGGGCTGTGAAGTAACTGGAACTTCATGTCTGCAAAACAGAACTTGATTAATTTATGATTATTAATTTGCTGTCAATTGTTTTACCTGTGCACTGTATTAGCCAGCAGATCATTATGCTTTAGCTTGTAGTCGATGGGCACCTTCTCATAGTTGACTGTCAAGCTGCCAGCCTCAATGCTGCGCTTATATTCCTCAGCGGGATGTGCACGAAATTCACGTGAGAATACATCTAAGATTCCCTCGCCCACCCAGCGTCCCTTTGTAAACGTGGTGAATGTAAAAGAATAGGGGTACACCTTTCGCAAACCTTCAATTGCGTATGACTAGTCAAATCCATTAAAGAGTATATTTAATGCTCACCATTTTCTATATAATAGGACGTCTCGTCATATCTTTCTTCACTGAAGCCGGGCCGTATCAATTTAGGATCTTTCGTTTCCAATTTTGGCTTCTTGCACTCAATAGTCTCGGCCCCAAGGGGCGCCTTTCGCTTCTCTGGCAATTGTACAGGTGAAGCCTCAGCTATCGTGGCCAGCTTAAACGGAAATGAGTAATCAGTTAACATTTAGCTAAATGCACATTTTAAAGTATTCCTGTTTAAAAAAAAAACCAGGTTCAAGGAGCTTGCATGACACACTAAGACACAGTCTGTAAAAAAGACGAAAAAAAAGTCTTTTAACTGCAGGAAAAGTAATAGAGGATTGTAACAAACCCAAATTGTCATCATAAAACAGTGGTCTGCATTCGTATCTTAGAGAGGAAGGCGACGAGCACAATCACGTTTGCCATACCCACGGGAACTGCCGAGGGGGGTGGGGGTAAGAAAAGAACTGCATTCAAAACAAAGAAGAAGCTAGAATAATAAAACTCTGCTGTTGAGAGAACACCAATACATTCGCACATTTGACATTCTCTATTTTAATGTCGAGACACATTTCTTATTTCAATAGCACCACTACAGAGGCAAGCGCATATATACATCGCATACATACATACATATACAGTTACATATCTCACATACGTGCATAGGTATTGTAGCAACTTTAAATGCAAGTGACACAATAGGCGCGCATAATGGAAGACAAAAACATTTAGAGCAATTTACATTTAAGGAGCATAGCGATACCTACTTAAAAACAAGTCCGTATGTTTCAGTGGAGAGTGTGCGACTAGTTAATACCCTGTGCCCAACCCCTTTGCGTATAGTGTACGTATGTATTTAAAAACAAACTTGAATTTGAGTGAGGTTGCAACGCAACAAAAAAATGGCGATAGTTCCGCTTACGGTTAACTCCTGCCTCCACGTTTGGCTCGAAACTGTTTCGCAGACGAAATTGTGCATAGTTCGGTTTGCGGTTTGAACTAACACACTCAACATTCGGTTCGTGAACCTAAAAAGATCACAGTGGTTCGGCTTGAAGCCGTTTTGCAGGCCCAATTATGTGTTACTCAAAACCAATACGCCCTTTTATTAAAACAGGTAAACAGGGCATTGACAGGAGGCGGGCATGCTGTTGCCAACATTGATAATTGCGGAAGCGTCAGGTTGGCCAACTTGACAAGGAGCTGCTCGTCAGCGCAAACAACAAGGAAAAACGACACGAAGCGTCGAAAGCACCCTTCAAAATGGCAGAAAGGAAAGGCAAAATGAGAAATAATTATACCAAATCCGCGGTTTAAATATGAAGGTAAAGCGGGAGACAGCTCAGCCCCAAAAAAAAAACGACTATAAGCTCTCTAGTCAGAGCACGGACAACACACAGGTAAGCTAACTAAAATGTTTGTTGCGGTAGACAAGTCAAGTTATTTAGTAGAGGTTAGCATAAGCTAGATAATTAGTGGTCGTACGGGATACGCGAACAAAGGGAGAGGATATGCTTTCGTCCATGTGATTTGTGATTGATAAAAAAAAAGAAAATAACTGAAATGTTGCAGACGATTTCGTAAGCCGAAATAGTTGTAAGTTATTCATGACGGATTGATCGGATTTTGTTTGCACAAACAGCGCAATTGCAGGCCATTTTACAAATTCAAATCTCTATGCATGTGCATAAATATGTAAAACGGAAACGGTTTGTTTTGTGCTGCACGTAAATAAAAGAATATGCAGTCTATGGAAGACATCATATTTCTATAACAGAGAGACAATGCCACAGAGGCTGTCGTAATTAGTTTTTCTTTCTCTACATTGACAATGACCCTCAGCCCAGCTTGGATGTGGCTTTGATTGTCTCGTGTGTGTTGCTTTTCATAACTATTATTAAACAAACACAATGACAGTGTGTGGACTAGGGTAATGTGATATCGTGATCCGATTTGAGCACCTCCAACTCATAAACTGACGGCAAAAGACGCACCTGAACAAAGATAGTTTATTAACTGAGATATCAGCTCAGCTTTTTACTACTCTACAAAATTACCCTATACAAAAATATAAAATGGATGCTTCTAAAATATGTTTCTACTTATTTTTGCTTACTTGGCTACCGCCATCTTCACTGGCTTCATAGGTCCACACACCGTTTATAGAATTTTTCTCCTCTTCTTCTTTAACATCACATTCGGCGCCAATTTCGGCCACATTTGTGGAGGAGCCGCCGGCAACTTCTGCGGCGGGCGCCTCGGCATGTGTGCAGTTCACGTTGGCCCGGAAGAGGAAGATGTTTTCCACGTCCACGGAGTCGTCGCCGTGCTGGGTCTGCACATGGCGTACTATCTTGGGCAATGTCATTGTTGGCCAACACCAAAATGTGTTATTTACTTTATTAACTTTGATTTGTGCGTTCAGTAAGCGCCTCGTTATAAACAAATTAAAGCACTGCAAACAAAAACAAAACCCATCAACACGTGTGTGGCAGCAAAACGAACGAATTAAACAACGGTTAGGGTATCTAGAAAGAACTGTTTGATACTGTCTGTCCGTTAAGCACTTGCCAGGCGAATTGTGTTATCAGCGTACCGCAAATACTTCATAGAGTTATTAAATAAATATTAAACTTTTACAAAACGCAACAACAGCGAGCTTCACGAAACTGGTTCGATTATTTTGATGAACGCGCCATTTTGCTAATCGAACTACTGAAATTGGTTCATATGTTCATTCGGTTCAATTTGAATACCTTGTAAACAAACTGAGTGCATTGGGTATGCCAAGTGCATAGTTGGTTCACTTTTGATATTGGTTTGATTCAATATTATTTAATTATAAACTTCAAATATGTTAAGTACATTAAAAAATGCATGTTTATAGCTAAATATAGTATATTTTTACACATTTATTAAATTATAGTCAGTGTGAAAATAATCAGTCGCCATAAATGTATAATTTTGCATTTGGCGAAACACACCTTGACGTATATAGGCTTTGTATGTCCATTTAAACATATGTAAACATATATAATTTTTATGTAAACATACATACGCACATGGATATTTATATATACATTTGTATATATGTCAGATTCCGCACACAATATTGTTTGTAAACACGCAGTAGTAGCTGCTGGGTAGGTTTTACAGTTTGTATAGTTTTTGATGAGGAAGCGTGATGTCGTCATTTCTAACTTTTTGTCCAGGCAAAAAGTCAATTTACAGCACATACATACATAAATCTACACACACTATGAATGAAAAAAAAAAATAATGTAATCGGTGAGTGCGCACACCTACAAAATATCGTGCTGATTTAATCACTTTCTTCGTCGGCAGTAGCAAATGCCAACTTTTACTCTCATATACACGCACACGCCCGCCCACCCACATACTCACACACACACACACACACGCCCGCTGGTTAGCCAAGACCAAGAGCCTTATGGCCAGTGGCCATTAAATGTTGCCCTAAATAAGGGGCAAGCCTTTTTTGGTCGCCTTAACCAGAGTTGTGGGTTTACAGAAGGATGTTGTAGTTTGTTTCGTGACCGAGTGCTTTTCAAGGAGAACGTCCCTTTAACAGAGCAGCACAGGTGTAGATAGGCGAGGGGCTGTGCGCTTATTGGAGAGTGCAGGTGTGTTAAACTAGTCACGCAGTCGGACATGCAATGGTCGCGCTCATAGTTCTACTCTATATACACGATATTTTCGGCTACAATCTGGGTGGACACTTTCTAAGCCCCCCCATTGAAATTGGTTACATCAGAGCATCGCGAAAATTAATATTCCAGAGTTATGAGCCTTTTATTCAAGTTAAAAATAAATAAAAAAAACTTGCCAGACCACAACAATTACTCGAGGAAAACAAGAGACGAGCCTTGCAGAGAGAGAACTTTAACCTGTTTAATCGAAAGGAATTTAACAAAGATTTCAATGTCAACCTTAACGAAGGTCAGCCTGTACAGAGCCCTATGACCTGCACGTGCCGAAGCTACATACAATAAAAATAATTGCAATATAATTACTATACGAATGTAGGTCAACATTAACTTGACTTGTATTCAGACAAGCGCTGTACAAACATAAATTATACATTTAAGAACCAACATGCATATTTGCTTGGTAAACATGGATTTCCGACAAAGAAATAATAAATTGTACAAAAACTTGATTTTTGAGAAAGATTCCTGAATATTATAGTACAGATTGTCATAGTAGGTGCTTACAAATCTTTGTTATGCCAGAGTGATATTAAATGAGCATAGAAATTCGAATTTATAAATGTCTGTCTGGCTGTGTACTAAATATACATAGTATTTGTATTTACATAGTATGTATACGGTACATATGAATGAATGTGTTTATGTAGTAAGAATATCTTAACACCTTGTAGATCCCGCGCGTAGATGACTTTGCCCTGTGCAACTAAATCAAGAGGAATTTCATTTTTGTTGGGCCTACGCCAAAAATGTTCTTTTGTTTCACGTAACAATATGAAAGTTTCATCAAAATTCAACATTGATATGTATGTGTCGCTCAGATACTTCTCTATATATATATATATATATATATATATATATATATATATATAAATAAATACATACTATGTGCGTAAATACGTATATTCACATTCACGTAACGGCACGTGTATGCGCACATATATGTGTCATGAAAATTCTTATTAATGGGATTAGGCTGGGAATTTATTTAAATACATATAATAAACATCGCCAAACACCAAACAAACGACGAACACAAATCAAAAGTGTTTTATTTTTATTTATTTTTCTTTTTTGTTAACTTGAAAATCTTTTTGATTTTAATTCTAATATACATTTCAACTAGAAAGATCTTTTTAATCTCATTTTACATATGAGTACTAGAAGAACATACTTTTGGCTAAAATGCTAAAATTAACAATTCTATGCCATCCAATAACTTATTCAAATTGAATGTCCAGTTAAGTCCAGTGCAGTTTACTTGAGAACATGCATTTAAATGGTTTTTCATATTTTCAATATTCCAAATAATAAAAAAAAGACACAAACCCCATTTTCAATGCTACACACGCCTTATAGCCAACATGTTGCATGTGCTGTTAATAAACAAATATTTAACAAGATTCTCGTTTGGCTCGGATAGTCCTTTTCAAGGGGCGAATTTAGTATATCGGCAAACCCAAACATCAAAAAACTGAAAGTTTTCTCTTTTTGAAAAATGCATAACACTAAAGAGAAAAATTGGTATATCTTTTTAACAATACATCTTTTATTGTTGCGTAAAAATAATCATAATTAATTTCGTTTTAACATTAACATTCGAAGAGTAACAGCACAAGAGACAAAACTTAACAGCGCCACTCTCTGCTCAAGCTCTGTTAAGCTCTGCAACTTATACCGCAAGCGACAAGTCGTAGCAGAGCGCGCGCAATTTAAATTTGAAAACCTTACGTGCGGCCCACAGTCAGTGGCGCTCTTCTTACAGTCACCGTTTGGGGCTGCTCCAATCAGTCGGCCGCTTGCTTTCAGCCAGTGCAGAGGTTGTCGCGTGAATGCCATCGCTTAACATATTACAAAACGTGTGCGACGAAATTATTAAAAACGCCGACGCTCGTACACCTCGACGACATTGATGGCTTACAATCTGGCTGCCTATTAACCGAGCGGAGGGCTGAGTGCGCGGGCGTTACGCACAGCTTAAATATTTAAAAAATAAAAACCCGTTTCTCTGGTGTTTTTAGTTTTTTGGCGTGGTAATAACTAACACTCCGGCGCCAACGGCCCGATTCGTTATCAGATAATCAAAGTAATGCAAGTCGATATAAAGTGATGTGATTTTAAGCCCAATGATAATAATGTAATGTAATTAACAAAAACTGTTTGAGTGTGTGTGTGTGTGGGTGTGTTTATTTCTTGACACAACTTCATTGTTCACGTGCTGCTAACATATTAGATAAATAAACATTATTTTGCATCTAGATATCCCTATAGAAACATTCAGATAATATTTCAATAAACAAAACACTTATGTTTATCATGTTATGTTTATCAATAGAGTGTAGCTCTTATGGTTATTTTAACTTGTTTTCTATTCCATTCAGCCCGCCTGTTATTTGATCTCTCATCCCATTTCAACGATCTATGTGGTTCTTATTATAATTATAATCAGTCTCTTTAGACATTTGACGAGCGACTAAATAGAAGGAGTGTGTATGAGTAGAGCTATTTGAGGACAACGTTTTTAGAATATTTTCCTTGGCTTGTGTACATGTGTTGTGTATGTATGTGTGCATGGGTGTTTATATATATGTGTGTGTGTGTGTGTGTGTGCCCGTGCATGGCTCTGTACCAAAAATATGCGCCATTGCCGTAGTCTAACATCGTCCATTTTTACGTACGCAAATAGTTTTTGTTCTGAAAAATTGTATATTTTCTATACAAAATATTTTTGTTGGTTGGCATGTCTTAGTTAGAGGTGACGTTTGAAATATATCAAGTAATTTCACTAGCCCTACGCACAGAATGGCCTTTAATCATCCAACGTCAAGAGCCGCACATGCAGTTACCTAATCTTCATTTAGCGTGTCGCTATTCAGGACACAAAATGTACATTTCTGTACATATATATCTGTATATATATAAATACAGTAAATATTTCGTTAATAGACAATGGAAATACGTAGCTATTCAGAATTCCATATATAAGTATGGTTTCTTTCTTTCTAGGAATTCCGAATGGGAGACATTTAATTTTCAATTTAATTTGAATAAAATTCTGTTTTATATGGGATTGTTATGTGATCTTTTGACAGTTTTATTGGGCAATCCTTTGTCAATTTGCTCATGCCCAAGTGTATTATATAAGAGATTAGTTGGTATATATATCTATTGAATATACCCGTAAAACAGACAGCATCTTGTCACTGTATGATCAAACAAAAAGAAAACAACGAGGAGATCACAAAAAAAAGGAAAAATTAGCACACATAAACATACTTGTACATAGTACATACTGTAGAGCCGAAATGAAAATTTGAAAAATAATTTGTGGCTGGCTCTTTGTGTACGCTGGCAAACCTAGTAATACATCAGACTTATTTTAGCACAAAGCCCCCGAAAAATAAAATACATAAGTAAATAAATTCATAGCCGCGCGCACACTTCAAGAACAGATAGCAGCAGCTGCTCGACAAGGCCCCGCGGGCTGCCGCTGGGAGTGGAAGTGGGTGGGGTCTAAAGGAGTGTGCACCAGAGAGAGAGGGAGGGAGGGGGCGCATAGAGAAGCTCTACATATTAACTCGCCACTAGATGATAACTAACGGCACATTAAATGTGCCATGAACGATATATTTCTAATTGCGAATGGGATTTGAGTGCGCCACAATAGATATTCAAAAAAATAAAACAATATCCAAATTAATTTCTGTGTTACATCTCATTTAGTTTGACTGTGCCCCAATATACGCTATTTCAGTTCTCTTTACATGCATATCATCAATGATATTCATATTTCCTAGAAGCCGGAACCAGTATCTTTTTGTACTACATAGTCGAAAAAAGGGGGCGCACAAGCATAAAATTTCTATTTACACTGTTTGGCAGTCTGTCCATCAGCCAAAAAAGTAAAAAGAAAAAAAAA